GAGCTGGTGGTCGCCGGCACCTTTTACCGGTGCTCTGCGTGGTATTCCCGTATTTATTTGTCTAGTCATCGTAGGAAACCATTACCAATACAACACTTTTTTTGCTGGTGCACAGTCCGCTATTTCGCTGTCACCCGAATGCCTTAGCTGGAAGTTCTTAGAATATTCTTTCCCATTTCATTTGTTAATTTTCGTTTTATGAATCCTAACAAAATGTAAAGGTTATAGGTCACCTAAAGCGGCAAAACAAAACACTTCTGCCCATCATGACAAACAGCTCAGACCAACCTACCCTGCCCAGTCCGGTTGCGGCCCCCTAATCCCTCAGATGGGGACCCAAAGGCATCCAGTCATGTAGACAAGACCAACGAGGAAGGCAGGTTTACCAACTTTGAGTGGGTGAGTGCTCATGTTAGAGGTGTCACAGTCACAGAAATTTTATGCCGATCCATTGTCGGCGAAGGATCTAAGAGCTGTCCTATTAAGCGGCTAAAATAAATCCTAATGTCATCTTGATTTAGTAAACTGGTGGAGCTTCATAAAAAAGGACAAAGCCTTTGTGATACCAACAAATACATTGTAACAGCGAGCTGTGATAAGATGGTTTTATTTACAGGAGGTGAACGACAGTCGTTTGCGGCAGCACACTGCGATCGTTCCAAGACTCTTCGTCTTCCTCTGCTTCTCCTCTCTACCTTTTACTAGTCTGTTACATTCCCCCGCAAGCAGACGAAGCCCGTAGGGCGAGTTATGATACACAAGCAGGGTAGAAAGGTTTTAGGCGAGCAACGTGAGTAAGCTGCGTTCTGCTCGATCGTCGACCATTGGACAAAAGACGAGCTATTACGTAAGTGAGCTGGCTTAGACGCTCCAAAACTATAAATGGGCCTGAATATCCTGACAGAAGCTTTTGACGCAATCTACGCTTGCGTTGCGGTGTCCAAAGTAACACCAAGTCACCTTTTTTGAATAAAACCGGTTCGTAACGGTCGTCGTATCGTTCCTTCGAGCGACGTTGAGAGGCCAGAGTACGAAGACGAGCGATTCGACAGGCTTCTTCCGCGAGGCACAGGGAGTTTGATATAGAGTCGTCATTGTGTAGAATGAAGGGTAAGAAAGTGTCTAGAGGGCTTAGTGGCAACCTGGCGTACAACAGATAAAATGGCCTGAAGTTCGTTCTTTCATGTTTTGCCGTGTTGTACGCATACGTGATAAAAGGCAGCACTTCATCCCAGTTTTGGGATTGGAAGAAACGTACATGGCAAGCATGTTGGTCAGCGTTTTGTTTGTCCGTTGAACGATGATGATGATGACATGTGGGGTTTAACGTCCCAAAACCACTATATGAATATGAGAGACGCCGTAGTGGAGGGCTCCGGAAATTTAGACCACCTGGGGTTCTTTAACGTGCACCCAAATCTGAGCACACGGGCCTACAACATTTCCGCCTCCATCGGAAATGCAGCCGCCGCAGCCGGGATTCGAACTCGCGCCCTGCGGGTCAGCAGCGGAGTACCTTAGCCACTAGACCACCGCGGCGGGGCTGTCCGTTGAACGAGGTCATTCGTCTGCGGGTGTTACGGTTTGGAATGGTGGAAATGTGTCATGCACATGCGTAGTAATTCTTTAACGGCATTGGCAATGAACTGGCGGCCACGGTCGCTGATAATAACACGCGGTGCGCCATGGCGAAGGACCACGGAGTGAAGCAAGAAGTCCACCACGTATGCAGCGGTAGAAGAGGGAATAGCTGCGGTTTCGGCATACCGCGTAAGATGATCTACGCAAACGATTATGCAACGCTTCTTATTGTTAGATAACGGAAATGGACCCACAATGTCAATTCCTACTTGTGCAAAAGGTGTGCTGGGTGGTGTTAACGGCTGAAAGGACCTGGTGTAGCGGTGGCCGGGCGCTTGTGACGTTGGCACGTCTCGCAGCTAGCGACGTAACGCTACGTCGTTTCGTACATCTTGGGCCAGTAAAAGCGTTCCTGCGTGCGGTTCAGCGTTCGTATGAAGCCGAAGTGACCGGACGTCGCATCGTCATGCATGGCACGTAGAACATCGGAGCGAAGGCTCTCGGGGACAACTTGAAGAAAACGTGCTCCAGGTCTGGAGTAGTTAGTTTTATAGAGCAACTTGTCTCGGACAGTAAAGCGACCGCTGTGTTGGGAGGCACGTGCGGTGGCAAAAAGAGAATCCAAGTTGAGATCGTTGCGTTGTTCTCTCTGGAAATCAGCCGCGTTGGGGAACGTGCTTGTAACAGCAGCG